CCCCTCTAGCCATTAGGACCTTTCACTAGGTCCGTGCCTGAAGGAGAGGGAGAGAGAGGGGAAGAGATGAAGACTGGAAGCTAGGGTTTACTCGGGGCAGACGCGGTCGCGGTCGTCGGGAGAGAGAAAGAGAGAGGACACGAAGGTGGAGGAGGGAGCGGCAGAGGTGCCGAAGCGCCGCCTCGTGCCAGCCGCACGCAGCGCGGGGAGCCGGCCGCGCCGCCCACTGCCGCATCAGGAGGGAAGGAGAGCGAGAAGGGGAGGGAGAAACGGAGATGAGAGGCAGGAGAGGGAGGGAGGGAGGGAGGGAGGAAGGGAGGGAGGAGGAGGAGGAGGTGGAGGAGGAGCATGGCTGCCGCCGTGCCGCTCGCCCCGGCGCCGTCGGCCGTAGCGTCGGGAGAACGAGGGAGAAAGAGCGAAGAGAGAGAGGAGGGGGTGAGAAGAAGGATCTGGAACGCGAAGCTAAAGCTGGTGTATATATTTGACTATCCAGATTCTGACGAGAAGCGAGAGAAGCAGAGGAGAAACCAGAGAAGCTAACCAGAAGCAGGAGAAGCGGGTGCAGGCGAGAATCCGCTTTGAGCGATCTGGGCCATCGAACGAGAGATCGGACGGTCAGAAGAATTCGGGGCGACGTGGACGCGCTAGGAGGCGGTCAAACCAAACTGCCTTAATATATTAGATATATATGAATCTAGGGTCTCCTGATGCCCCTCTGAGGCAAGCTCAGTTCTCTCCGTAGCTTTCGAGCAATGTTGTCTTGGTTTGCGAGTGTTGGCATCCCCTTTTGTGAGACCTAGGTTTTGTTAGTGATGGTGATGGTGCTGGAACCTCGAAGATCTTTGTTGTAATTTTTATTTTCAGTAGGAGTCCCTTTCCATGTTTGGCTGAGACAGCTGTGCTCTAGATGCTTCGCGTATGTACCAACTCAGGGGTTCATAGTTGTATATATCTTGGTTCGATGCAAACATTTTGTCTAGATCGAGTTTAGTAGTTAAATCTAGTTCCATATAAAAAAAACAGTTACGTGACGTCTCAGTTTAGCTACTGAGCCTGCCAACAATTTTCACCTTAATAATACAAAGTTTTGCAACTAAACGAAAATTGTCTAGGGAATCGATTATAACAATTTTAGCACACTATTGTGCATTTGTATGGCTTAAAACAAACATTGGCAACAAACAAATGAAAATTATCTAGGGAATCGATTATAACAGTTTAACACACAATTGTAACACACGATTGTGCCCAGAACTTGTTCATGCTTGTTTCAAACGACAACTATGGTTCATCTCTGCAACATAATACCTATAACTCTATATATACACATAATATTAAAGAGTGAAGAGATTTTTTGGTCTCGTTTTTTTTTATTTTCCATGCTGTTCTCGCACCTTCCCTATCTTGTACATGACTTGGCCCGTATGAGTTAGAGCAACTCACGTCTAGCGATCATATAGTCCGATTTCAAAACGTATTCCATTCCGTTGCAACACATATGCACATTTACTATACTAGTATAAACATAGTATACCCCATCATTCCAAATAACAAAAGAAAGCAACCATCTAAGAAAAGAAAAAAAATTGAAAGCTTTGAGCAAGATAACTATACTATACTAGATCGCAAGACTGAGGTTAAAGGTATTCTAATGGCACTAATCTGCTTCTAATGCATTGGTTTTCTTTGATACCGTGAGGTACTATATGGCTTATGGTTCGTTGGTTGACATTGTTTGTACCGACATTGTAACGCATGTCTTTTATTTTATTTTATCTGATCCAAGCCATTTAATTAGCTTGATTTTGCTGCCATTTGAACAATGTAGGGTCCAGGCCTGCTCTATCTTTGAAAACACAATTCCAGAACAGTTGCTCCACTATGGAACAGCTCTACGGTTGATGTGAGCTCCCATCAAACCATTTGGTTGAGCTCCAACTCGGATGGACTTATATGTAATTTAAAAAACATAATCAAGGACTAAGATAAAAAAATGTAACTCCACTCCCTCCCAATACAGCCATGGCGGGCATCCCGTGCGGGGCCGTGACTGGCTGGGGAGGGACCGACGGCGGGGCAGCAGCCGGCTGTAGGGACAGAGGTGGGTGGCGAACCGCGGTGCTTGAGGACGGGGCGGCAACGCGTGGCAGGCTGGGCCTCGGCGGCGCTTGTGGTGATGGGAGGCGGAAAAAAAGAAATCGAATCGGTATGTTTGTGTAACGGATGGTGATGGTGGGTAATTTTCATCAACTCTAACAAACTAGAGTTTTTAGAGCATCCCTTGAGGTGTTCCATGTATTTGGTAGATCTGGGAGCTGGATCAAAGTTTCTAGTGGATCTGAAGTTTGCGGAGCTAGGACGTTTTGTTGGGAAAAATTGAGAGAGGATCAGTTTTCTAGGATTGCCAAACACCCCCGTAGTGTCTAGAAGTATATGAGAGTATCATTGCTACCATGGCTCCATCAGGTACTGTGTTTTAGGGGTAATATGGTGAAAAGAAGTCTTCAATTAGCTAGAATCTCAAACAAGAGAATCCATGATCTAAACATGTAGAGATCTTTTTTTATATCTAGAATTCAGATTTTGGAAATCATTACCTAGAATCTGATCTAGAATTTAGATTCTTAGAATCCAGAAGGCATTCAAACATGTCCTAGGCCCTGTTTGGAACCGATTAAAATCAGATTCTCGCCCGTCTACCGCAACAATCGAGCAAAAACCCACCAAACGCCCTGAGATGGCCTTGATTCTTCTGACTGCCCCTCTCCCATCCACCGCGAGAATAAAACTGCGACCTCAGTTCACCCAACGTAGCTCGTCTACCGCACCGCGCGGTCTCCCACCTCGGTTCCAAACAAGTCCCTAGGAAATAAACGCGGAGTCATAATTGCAATTGGTGTTGTTGGCAGTTGGTTTCAGCCAGGGCTTATTAGCCCGCCAGTGTTTTCCTCTCACAATAAACCAGCACCAGCCCGGTTTATCAGCCCAAAAACCAACCAACGAACATGCTCTAAATAGAAAGCACGAAAGCTACTGTCCAAATCTTTTTCTTGCTTTAGACAACCTATTTGCGAACATTGGTATGGAAGAATATATGGTTCAATTGTCCATTCATCCAATAGAATTTACATATTCTTACGCTCGCTATAATTATTGTTGTTATTATTATAAGAGTATGGCATATACTGATGCTAGATTTTGTTACTTTACCAAATTGCAAATGTTATAAAAAAACTATTATGATAAACTATAGTGAAACGACTTGCTCGCTTATGATTTTTTTACGTCTCCTAATTGATACAACTGTAGTAAACATGTGCGAACATGCACAAACTCACACACAGCACGCACACCTCTATGCACATATCTACAACTACGCCCTTGAAGATCGTGTTCTCAGTGAGATTGATTGAGTTACACAGGATTAGCGCGTCGTTCTGAGCACCGAAATTTATTTTTGGGGGCGTTGCCACCAGCTGATTCTAACCGGAATCCAAGGACGGTGGGTGGGATGGAAATCGACCCCAAAGAAACCAAGCAGCTCCAAAGGCTACGCGAGGGTATGTGGCAAGAAACCGATTTTGCTTCGGCAAGCCTAGCGCCCGGACGTCTGGCTCTAGTCCTGCGTCCGGACGTGGCTTCCGTTCGACGACCCGCTGCGGCCCCCTCACGTAGGCTGCGCCCGCGGCGCCCACGTCACCACGCGCCTGCGCCCGTTCTCCCAAATCACGACGTACGCAGCCCCCTTCGCCCAGCGCCCATCCCGCTCCGGAGGTAGCGTCCGTCCGTACAGAGCTCCCTCGCTTGCGTCCAACGCAAGCAGCTCCCTTGTCCTGCGCCCATCGCCCATTCCTCATTCGTATGGATGCCCTGCCGGCTCCGGAAGAGACGATGCTACAGAATGTGGGAGAAGGAGAGATGCAACACCCGATCTACTTTTGAAACATCCAAATACAACGGTTGCAACATACGTCTAAAGGCAGTTGTAACACTTGAAACATGCTTATGAAACACTTGAAAAACACACCTGAAACACACTTGAAAACCATTGCAACCATACGCAACATCCGAATAAAACACATTCAACATATGTGTGAAACATATGCAACATCCAAATAAACACAATTGCAACATGCATCCGGAAAACACAGATGAAACTTACCTCTGAAACATCTGAAAACACTGGAAACATACTCTTACAACATGCCTATGAAACAATTGCAACATATGCAACATGTGCAACATCCCCAATCTACTTTTGCAACATCCATACGAAACAAATGCAACATACCTCTAAAACGCCTGAAACCATTGAAACATACAATTGCAACATAAGGGGGGAGAGAGCATGGCGTGAGGAGTGCCATGGTGGCGCGAATCTATGGGCATTGGGGGCGATGCCGGGGTAGGGGAGGCCGCCAGGGTAGCTGCTCCGGAGCCTAGCCATCGCCGGTGGTGGCGACGAGGACCGCCGTGACGGTCGACGATGTCGGCCCACGCGTTGCCGCGGTGCGACCATAGCTTCCACATCAAGTGTCGGGTAGGGGAAGGGGCCGCCGGGGTGGGGGAGAAGGCCACTAGAGCAGGGAGAAGGACGCCGGGGTGGGGAAAGGAGCCGTCAGGGTGAGAGAGAGGACACCGGGGGTGGGAGAGGCAGCGATGGCCACGTCATCGGGTGTAGACGCGGGACGTGAAAGGATAAGAACAAGGAGCGTAAGCAGCTGCGGGAGTGAGCAGTCGAGGCGTCCATCCGTCTGGGCGTCGGTATGTATCCATATCGATTTTGCTTTGCAAATTGCAGTTCCAACCATGTGGGCCCCCCTCTCTGAAAGTGGGCCTATCCTCGCTGGCTACGTCTCCCCTCCGCGCACAAAAACCCTAGCACGCAGGCTCAGCCAGCCCTGCTCCCAAAGCTTCTGGAGAACACCTAGCCGTCTCCCCTCCCTAGCCCCGCCGTCGCGCCCTCTTCGAATCGAATCGCGCCGCGATCACCTCATCTCATGGCGGACAAGGAGCCCGTCGTGGACCGACCCGAGGCGGCTGAGGAGGAGGAGGACGCCTCAGCCGCCGCCGCTGCCGCGGGGGAGGAGGAGGACACGGGCGCCCCGGTGGCCCCCATCGTGCGGCTCGAGGAGGTAGCCGTCACCACCGGCGAGGAGGACGAGGACGTCCTGCTCGACATGTGAGGCGCCGCCCCCCTCCCCACCTCCTTGTTCATTGACGGGTTGCCCGCCCCCGCTTGATTTGGTGCTGATTTGGGTTTTGCAGGAAGGCGAAGCTGTACCGATTTGACAAAGACGGGAACCAATGGAAGGAACGAGGCACGGGCACCGTCAAGCTTCTCAAGCACAAGGCGACCGGCAAGGTCCGCCTAGTCATGCGCCAGGCCAAGACGCTTAAGATCTGCGCGAACCATCTCGGTATCCCTTTCTCTCTATTTGAAATTCGCCGTCACAATTTTTATTAAGCTTTTGGTTGATCCCAAAGAGTAGGATTCTGGTACTGATGCCGCGCTGTGTATGCAGTGGCCTCCACCACGAAGATGCAGGAGCATGCCGGCAGCGACAAGTCGTGTGTCTGGCACGCTGCTGACTTTGCAGATGGCGAACTCAAGGAGGAGATGTTTGCCATCAGGTTTGGTTCGGTAGAAAGTGAGTTCTCCATCTCGTTTACCCGGTTGTTGTGCCCAACTATATGTTTGATACTAGATGGTTGAACTTCATAATCTCAGTGTTCTAAAATGAAATCTTTAGGGCCTATTTGGTTTGAGCCCAGGCAAAGCTGCCTGGCCCAGGCATGAATCTCAGGCGTCCAATTCTGGAGGCCTGGGGTTGAGATTGCTGCCTGGTTGTTAAGCTGACAATCCGATTATAGGCTGCTTGGAACTACTAGTTGGCTTGCCCTTTATGTTACTGCAAAATGACCAAACAAATAGGTTTACCCGAGTTTAAGGTCCTTGTTTTGTTGATTAAGCGTTTTCAACGGTTCAAGGTTGTTCTACCGAGTGATCCTAAAGAAGCCATTTATGAACGAAATCGCCATCTATATGGCTTTATTTCTATCCATTGTTTGGTTTCAGTTTTGTGGATCTAATTGTTGTCGAGTGTTGACAAAGGAGAGTTGCTTGATATGTTGGCTTCTATGAATAATAAGATGGTGAATTGTTTTGTGTTGTAAAGAGTAAATTCTAATACACGTGGTGACTGAACTGGCACTGGATATTGATTTTGAGAACTTTGGGATGTAATAATCCGATAGCTTGTTAGTTCTACCGCTGTAGTATATATGATGTACCACTACCTTCTCTTTAAGGAGAACTATTATTAGGCATTCATCCGCGGGTGGTGGTTGAAAGAGGCTTAATCATTTCATATCATTTCTGTGCCAGGTGGTGTGATCAATTGATTACAACCTGTCGGGGTTTATTGTTTGCATAATTTATTTATCATGGTGGCATATTTGCACAGTACCTTTCTACCGGCTCTTTGTCTGAAATTTCTTATGTCAAGTTTGCATCATCTAGTTTTAACAAGCCATTTTTTAGGTTTCTAGTTTACACTCCATAGAGCTTTTTCAAATTTTCCCTGTAAAACGTTCTCCTTGATTTGTTGATTCCTGAGCAGTTCACAAGAAAAATACCCAAACTAGATGTCACATGGTCGACATTGTAAAATGGATCAACCATATTGTTGTGTGTGTAGCCTTTATATAGCGACAGTTGATATGTAGAGTTTCTGAAGTACATATTGATATTACAAATAATGGTCTGGTAGTGCTTTTTGCCAGTTTGCTCATTCCGCGTTTGCATTATGCTAACACATTATTTTATTTTCATTGGTGCTCCTATATATTTGAAGGGGTTGGCTTTTACAAGTTACAACTGCTCAGTATCTTCTTTTTGGTGCATATTTTACTTAATTGAGTTCCCTACTGGCAATCGTAGGCACTAGCTTTGGTTTACCAACATTCTCTTTATGAATAAGTACGTTCTCATGTGTGCTCTGTGTCAGCTCCAGCTTAGTGGTAGTTCTGTGAAGTGTGAAATAACCACCGAAATCTTTGTTAACTTCCGAATTAGCTCATTTTTTATTAGTTAAAACGTCATGAGTGTTACTTTTTAGGGCACTCTAGGTGCTATAGATAGCATTGCCTTTGTTAGACCTCTGTTGTGTATTTTTCATCTGGTTGCAGGCTGCAGCCTTTCTATTCATAGTTTTAGTTCCACTATTAATGGGTGTTGTTGAGATCTTGCTACCTGTGTAGCATCTGTACTGCAGTACATGAGGGTATCATATTACGTTGATAAGCATGTTCTCATGTGTGCTTTGTGTGACTGCCAGAGGCTCGGTGGTAGTTCAGTGAAGTGTGAATTAGCCAAAATATTTGTTGTTAACTTCCTAACTTACTTGGTGTTTATTAGTTACAACGTCATGAGGGAATACTTTTTAGGGCATTCTTCGTGCTATACAACCTTGCCTTACTTCTGTTGTGTGTTCTTCCTCTGGTTGCAGGCTTGTGGCCTTTCTCTTCATAGTTCGAGTTCCACTATTATTAATGGGTTTTGTTACAATCTTGCTACTGGTCTAGCATCTGTACAGTACATCAGGATACCATATTACATGGACTTCGATCTCATGTGTTAGACCATGTAGTGTTTTCTATTATGGCAGTCAATTTCTATGTCTGTTTAGAAAGATGCATAGTTCTGTGTTTTCTGTTCTGGCAGTCAATTTCTATGTCATCTGTTGAGTGAAATACTCCCTAGGTATATGTCTAGACTGTCCATTTTCTTTTCCTTCTATCGGTTCTGTAGTCATTGTGTCTTCCAAAAACTTGCTGAATTTCACTAAGTTATGCTGACAACAATTCTCTTTGATCTCATATAGATTGCAAGAAGTTCAAGGAGTTGATTGAGGAGATTACCGAGTCACTTACAAAGACTGAGGGCAAGGAAGGTGAAGATGGTTCTTCCACGGCTGAATTGCTGGAGAAGCTCACTGTGAGTGAGGGCAAATCTGAGGAAAGAGGCAAGTCGGAGTCAACTGATTCTGGCAAAGTGAACGAAACCAAATCTGACGCAGCCCCAGCCGAGTAGTTGGTGTTGTTTCACGCAGATCCACCTGGTGCCGAATCAGTTTGTGTCCTTCCAGTGGAAGTTTGGTGCCCGTTAGCCATGAAATATGACTGCTAACATTTGGGGGCGAGTTGGAGCAGTCTCAGGTCTAGTCTGGTTTGGTCCGGGCTTGGTTTTGTTAAAAACTTGGAGTCCATCGGGGTTGTGGAACGTTTGGTATGTGAGTCGCTAGTATTTTACTGCATGGATCGTTATGGATTGCGGTAAATTCATTCATATAAGGTGCATCCTATTTTTTTTTTATTTGGTTCAATACACATACATGTGTTGTATTAATACTTTACTTTATGCCAATGCCCCATGGGGAGAGTTGAATGAGTGTCGAGAGTGATAGATCAGGTGTCTTAGCTCATGCGTATACATGTGATGTATCTCATACACGTATCCTCTCGACTAAGATGTAACTGGAAATTATGTTGGTAGGGATGACAGTGGGTCGGGTAAGATACGGGTGGGTTGGGTAAGATACGGGTGGAGTGTATGATCCTCTCGACTAAGATGTAACTGGAAATTCCATGTAGGGACGACAGTGGGTCGTGTAAGATACGGGTGGTTTGAGTAGTATAGCTGGGGTGTATGAATATCTTCTTATTTTTTTTTAAAAAAAATCTTCTTCTGGGTTCTAGCTGTTGCCGTCTGCCGCCATCCTCCACGCACCGTCTCCGATGGCGTCCGCGCTCCTGTTTGCCGAGGCGGCGGCCGTCCCGCTGCCGGGAGGGTTCGATGGCAGCAAGCTGGGGATTGAGCTGCACGCTGTCGAGATCACCCCCGCTGGCGACCTCCTTGTGCTCGACTTCATCAACAGCAACATCTACAGGTGCCAGCTGCCGCCTGAATTGCCTGGATCAACTCGGGGCGCGGCCCCTCCGACAGTGGCGCGGCTAGATCCGCCGTCGGCGACTTTGGCGGCCAGGGAGCTCTTTCGGTGGCGGCACTCATCTCTGGAGCTTGTGATGGCAGCGACTGAAGGTGGATCCAGACTTCATTGCAAAGAAGTATGTTAAGCTCTGATTCCATTTACTCCTTATCCAAACTGACGGTGACGTCTTAGTGCGGCAGCAGTTAAAAGTAATAGATATGTAGCCCCGTTCGGCTTGCTGAATTTTGGCTGAAACTGGCTGAAAAATACTGTTCTGGCTGAATTGTTGCGAGAGAAAAACACTGTTCCGGCTGAAAAAAGAAGCCGAACAAGTCGGTTTCTGGGTAAGCCGAACGGGGCTATAAATTGATCTGCAGATGTTTTATCAATTGTTTAACCCATGGAGACAGTAGTTTTGCTAAGTAGAAAGTTAATATATATCTCTGTTTAACCCAAACAAATGAATATGCTCATGTAATTTGACAACGTAGGATGATCAGTTTACCAAGTTAATACATGGCACTTTTGTTTGTGCTACTTGATTTAGGGTCTGTTTGGTTTGGGGTTGGCTAACCCAAACTAAGGAAGCCAACTTTAAGTTGTTTGGTTGTCTATAAGGGTGCGTTTGCGAGGGTGGCCCAGGCCGGCCTTGCGCTCGTGGGCTGCAGGCTCCCGTGTTTGCGGCCTTGGCCCGCGAGCGAGCCCGGCTCCCAGGAGTCAAATACGACGCCGCCGCCTGGCCCTGGAGAAACGCCGCTAGGGTTCGTTTCTGGCGAGCTCGGCTGCGCGCGGCGGGGTGGCTCGCGCGGGCTCGGCGGGAAGGTGAAACTTCCGCGCGCACTTGCCGCCGTGCGGGAAGGCAAATCCGCCCGCCAATCCGCGCGCCTATAAGTGCGGCCGCTCCCCTGCCTCTCCTTCTTCCTCTCCTCGCTCTGGTCACCTTCCACCTCCCTCCTGAGAGACCAACGGTGAGCTCGTGTGCGTGGTGGCGGCGGCGACCTCCAGCGTACTTTGCCTCCGTTCCGCGCCTTGGGGGTTCTTCGCCGCGTTCCTGCTCCGGCTGCTGCTGGTACTCGGTGGCGTGTTGGTGTTCCTCCTCTTCTCCGTCCCCGTCTGCTTCGACTTTAGATCGATCTGCTTCCTCTACTTCCAGATCTGCCTCCTCTCCGGTTCTACGACCCCGAGTCCAAGGTGAAATGGACCACCCCTCCCCCCCTCCATCTTGTGTTTTCCCTGGATGCGACATGTATTAGGGTTTGGTAGCTGATGATGTTTTTTATTTTTTGGTACCTGATGCTGCTGCTGCTTTGGTTCTGTTATGGTTTGGTACCTGATAAGCTACGGTTTGTTACTATTTTATGAGATGTGGTCGATGATGTGGTCCTTTTTGTGCACTGGGAGGCATCAATACATGATGCAGCCGTGCTATTTCCTTATTCATTCATTTCATGAGCATGTTGATGCCTAGCAGGGTCTGATGATCTGTATTCCTGTTTCAATTTTACATGGTTGTAGATGGATCCCTTGTTGAGCCGTGAGATGCTGTGTAGGCAGGCCGCTGCTTTGACTGTTGTTATGGTTTCCTTTGTATCCACTAGGCTAAAAAGAAAAAACCCTGAACCTGATACACCCCAGCCTGACCTTGCAGCACTTGCACTTATTAGGGATGTAAATGAGCAGCACAGACTGAGGACAATGCACATGATTTACCACTCCACTGATACAGAGTGTATATCCATGATTAGGATGAAGAGAGCTCCTTTTTTTGAGTTAGTCAAAACATTTAGAGAGAGGAGCTTGGTCACTGATAGGGATGGGGTCTCAGTAGAGGAGCAGGTAGCCATGTTCTTGCATGTTGTAGGACACAACCAAAGGTTCAGAGTTGTCCACCATTCCTTTAGGAGGTCCATTCAAACAGTGCACAAACACTTCCACCAGGTTTTGTATGCTGTTGGTGAGCTTAGGAATGAAATGATCAAGGCACCTAGCACTTCCACTCACCCAAAGATCCTTGGAAGCCACAGATGCTGGTGTGGGGAGGTTGTCAGCCCTACTCAAGTGTACAACCACTTGAGAAAATGGAGGCAGAAATGGGCTAAGGTGTCCAAACTCAAGGACCTTAGTGGTGCTCTATGGGATGACATCACCCATGCTATCATGCTTGACCATGAGCACTACCTTGGCCACACCAAGGTAGCAATTTGGTTCTATTTCATTGTCCTACATACCTTGTATTTGTACAATTACAAGTCCAAACCTCCATGTGCACCAAACTGCAGGACCATCCTAAAGATGCTGAGTACCTAAACACCCCTATTAGGTTCTACACTGAGATGGAGGCCATATTTGGCAATGCTTTAGCCACTGGTAGGTTTGAACTTGGGTCTGGGGAAGCCTTAGGGCAGAACCAGGCTGACAGTGCTGCTGCCAAGGTTGATGGTCCTCCATTGACCCCACTCACTGGTGATAAAGCTCCCACTGCACCTGCAGAGGGTAGCAAGGCCACAGAAGTGCCCTGCTCAAGTGTTGGTGGGAAGAGGAAGAGAGGGAATTTCTCTGAGGAGGAGATACTCATGTTGACCAACATGTCTGATGCTGTCAACAATGTGGCTAATGCTCTTAGGGAGACTGGACCTGCCCATGTTGATGCCAATCTGTACCTTGCTGTGATGGAGATGCCTGGCTTCTCTGAGGAGGTCCTTATTGTTGCCTACACCTTTCTCCTGGACAACAAGGCCCAAGGCAAGGGCTTTGTGAACATGACTAATGCCCATAGGACCATTTGGCTGCAGACCTTCTTAGCCAAAAACTACTTCATGTAGCTGCACTACATGATGGTCTGCATGGACAGGAGGGGGTTGACTGTTGAGATGTATAGTTCCTCCACCCCCTCACCCACTCTCTCTTCTTTTGACTACAACTGGGATTTTGTTTGCTGTAGAGCTTTTGTGTAGTGTAGGTTGATCTTTTGACACATAACCTTCAGTAGATGTATGCCTGTGAGGGTGGCTGACAATAGGTAGCAATTTGGTGCAGGCTGTCCATGTGCAAGAACTGTTGTATGTTGTATTTTGGCCAATGATGACACAATGGATTGATGCATTAGCTGGCTACATATCATTTTGCTGCCTCTTATCTGTTTCTGTGAACTTCTTCGTTTGTTGGCTTCAAAACTTGACTAGCGGATGCTGCTGTTCTTCCTTACTGACTTTGATTATCCCATGTAGCCAGTAATGCCATGAATTGTTAAACTAGCATGTCTGAAGCCAACTATTGCATGCTGAAACTTTGATCTGTTGTTGTAACGGTTATGGAAGAGCAACCTCATTCTCCTTTCATTCATGTCCATTTCTGTTTGTTGTTATGTGTAACACCTCTGGTGTTTTGACCTATCATTAAAATTTGACATGTCATCATTTGCATTGCAAAGCATTCATAAAGTAGAAAATGTTGAATGCATTCACTAAATAAGCTTTATTTCATAATGTTATTATTTTATGTGATGTGATTCAAAACCCTAAATAAAGATCATGACCACAAGAGTCAAAATTCATGTGATCATGTGAGACCATGTGTTAATTGACTCAAATAACCCTAATGGGCCATGTTACTGGTCAAAAATCAAAGTTAAGTCAAAAGGTAAACAAATCAAATTTGAATTCAAATTCCAATTATAAAGGTCATTTTTGCCCCTTTTGTCTATTTTAAAATCCATTTGGAATTTGGGGTTGTGACAAAAAGCAAAGTTGAAGCTTAGTTAATAAGGATCAACTTTGGTATTCAAAGTTTTTTAAGTTTACATATAAAATTTGGAGTAATTTTGAAATGATTCAAATACTCAAATGCACCCAAATTCAAATTTTAAAATGGAGGCAAAATTTAAAAATATTCCTTGAAGCAAAGTTGTAGAGTTTGAAAAGTTGAGCAACTTTCATTTTTGGAGATTTTCATCTTCTTTAGAAAATTTGGGAGTAATTTGCAAAATGAACTCAGTGGCAAATCTGTAATTATTCGGAACATTAGCACGACCACCGCCCCACCGCCGGTGTCCTTTCTCCGGTCTTCCAGGCGCATCTGCGACCGCCCTTGGCTTCGCGCTGGC